TTTTTTTTTTTTTTTTTTTTTTTTTGAGTCAGAGTCTCACTCTGTAGCCCAGGTTGGAGTGCATTGGCATGCTCACAGCCATCGCAGCCTCAACCTACCGGATTCAGAAGATCCTTCTTCCTCAACCTTTTAAGTAGCTGGAACTACAGGTGTGTGCCACAACACCCAGCTAGTGTTTGTTTGTTTGTTTGTTTGTTTTGAAGAGACAAGGTCTCGCCAAGTTGCCCAGTCTGGTCTTGAACCCCTGGACTCAGGCAATCATCTCGCCTCAGTCTCCCAAAGTGCTGGGATTACCATGCCCAGTTTAAAAAAAAAGCCTTTCTTAGAAGTACACTATTTTTGCCTGAACGAAGCATATTTGCATTCCTAACCCTAAACTGTACCACACAATGTCAAAATAAAAAATATTAAGAAAAAAAAAGAAGTACGCTATTTTTTAAAAAAAGAGCAAAGACTGTCATAATCAAATATCATATGCAACATCAAAGTCTGAGAGTACTTACCATAAGAATCACTGCAGTCATAGGAACTAAAGCCTGGGAAACACGCACATCCCCATTCCATACACTGCCCACGGCCACTGCATAAATTGGGGCATTTTAACACTGAGAGAATGTCTGCAATTGACTTGTTGTGTTCTTCCATGCTAGATCTCCCCTCTTCCAAAATCCTCTTTTCACATTCATTTTCTAAAAGGGCCACACCTGCTCCTGCCCAGCTAAGGTCGTCTTTAAACAGAACATCCTTCACACACATGTCTATCACATTGTCTAGTCTCCCACCAAGAAAACCAAGGCAGAGCCTTCCCAGGCTGGAGTTGGCTAGAGTCTGCTGACACAGTGTCAAGGTGCTGTATTCGGTGAGGCCAGAGGGTGTCGGCCACGAGGGGACAAACTCTTGGTGGACATCCTCAACATGGTCCTCGGGGAAAAAATAAGAATACTCTTCCAGGTCAAACTGACTGAGACTCTGGAAAACCAACGGAGGAAGAAACTCATCCAAGTTTCGTCGTTTCCATCTGCTTTGTCGGTTCCATCCTTTTTCCTGGCTGTGGCCACCCTGTTCTTGTGTGTGTGTTTCATTGTCCGAATAGCTGATTGTGTCTTGTTTCTCATTTTCAGGCTGTTTTTGTGAATTCAAGTTCAGTTTGGTCAGGTTGACGTGCTGTCTTTCTTGTAGAAAGGAATTCAAATTATTTTCTTCCTGAGTTGTAGTTTCTTTCATTCCTCTGACAAAAGTGTCTGAGTTAATATACTCAGAGGTGACATCTACTTCTGGTATCAAAGAAGAAAATCCAACATGTCTGCGGTCTTCGCAACCTGAAACAATTTCTGATTGAGAACCACTGCGTAGATGATTCCAAGATGGATCCAAGGAAGCACTGTCCAATGAACAACTACAATAGGACTGTTTTCCAGGAGATGTCAGAGAAACTGGCAGTGTGTCAAACATGCTTTTTCCTGGTAAAATCCTTCCAGGTGAATAAAAGAAAAGAATAAGTAATTTGGGAGTGAACATGTTTTTCCTTGATAATGTATTACTAAAAAATTGAGTATTGAATCACCACCTATTTTAAGTCTAATATTAATACAATCACAGTGAAAAACAGTTTCTTACCTCCACTCATTAATAAAAGAAGCATGATTATTCAAATTTTGATCAATTTTGATCCCATTTTTATCATGGAAATCATTTTCTGGGTTTTCATCAAAGGTCCCACAAAGTCCCAGAGTGTTTCCGTAATCTAAACCAGGGGCTCTGACTGTTAGACTCATGCCCCATTCACTAAGATCAGCACGGATAAATGCGCCAGAAGAAAAACAAATCTGAAATAAGAAATAACCAACACATACATAAATGGTGTTGAAGCAATATTCCATCTGGATTAAGAAAACAGCTATTATTTACAAAATAAGGAGTGGCTATTCTTTCAATATAAAAAGAGAATAAAATCCTGATCTTCTCCAGGCTACGATTTTCCTTTTAAGGTTCTATATCAAAAAAATGGATTTTGGTATTTACGAACTTGAAATTTGATTACTGATCTTTTTATTGAAATACATCGTTTGCTTGCAACCTCTTTCTTTAACTAATTTAAACTAAAGTGAGATGTTTTATACAATTAAAGCAATTATACGTCTTGTGGACAATGTTTACCCAGTAATGTTTTTGATAATTATTGGATATAGAATTAAACTGCCAAGTAATTAATTAACACAGGTAAACATAGTTCCAGAGGAGTACATATTCCTATAGCTAATTGGCATGATCTTGCTGCCTGTAGGCATAGAATCAGTGGCCAAAATATAACTTGTAAGGAGGAAAAGTTACAATTAATCAGTGATCAATAAAAAGATTTAACGGAAACTTTAAATGAAATATCACATAGCAGAATGCATTGTAGTCAAGAAAATGATGGAATAGGTATGTATTTATTGACAGTCAAAGATATACATGACACACAAAAGAGGTTTTTGAAGAAGGTGCTTGGAGAGCTGGCAAACAGAGCAAGGGGGATTGGTGAATGACCCTAATAGCCTGCATCGTCTGACAATGAGACACCTCTCTCCATCCCAGGAATAGCTCCTCTCCCAGATCAGCCACTTGGATACATGGTGTATGTGGACAGGCTATCTCTTCTAAAAAATCACTGAAGATATATCACTTATCTTTGCTCCTCTGGTTATTTTTCTCCTTTTCATTTTGGTAAATTTAAAAATAGCTCTTTTTTTCTTTTCCAAAAAAAAGTGGTGTTGTTTACAGGAAATTACTTTAAAAGCAAACCAACCTAACAGTCCAACTCAATCTGAGGTAGCTAATTTGGTGCAAATTCTTCAAAAACCTCTTTTATGTCTCACGTATCTCTTTGACAGTCCATAAATACATACCTACTCCATCATTTTCTTGACTACAATGTGTTCTATTACGTGACATCATTATATTTAGAGTTTTAGTTAAACCCTTTTACTGATCACCGATTAATTGCAACTTTTCCTTCTTACAAGGTGAGACACATAAACATGATTAGGCTTATGCACATCCTTAATTATTTTATTACAATAACTTTCCAGAAGTAAAATTTCTTGGTTAAATAATACCTGTAGATGTAGGTTATATATGATATATATGCCCTATGGAAAAACTGTAACTATTTCTATTATCTCTACTCTTGCCAATAGGTATGAGAGATGTTTGAGCTGCATTTATATATTTATTTAATTGATTACTAGTGATGTTAAAGTTTTCATAGATTTGTTAGTTTTTATACTTTTGAATATATCAGCTTGATTTCTTTTGTGAAATGCCTTTTTAAGTTATTTGCTCACTTGAAATGGAATACTGATTATACATTAGTGACGTATAAGAGTGTTTCCGACTATATGGGATTTTTTGCTTGTTTGTTTTTAGACAGCAGGATTTATTGAAAGAACAGAAAAGCTCCCAGAGCAGGAGGGGACCCAACAGGGTTGCCCGACTATATGTTTTATATGTAGAAAATATTTTCCCAAGTTCCATTTTGATTTTTGATGATGAAATCCAAATATGTTATTTTCCTTTTTTTTTTTTTTGAGTTGGAGTTTCACTCTGTCACCCAGCCTGGAGTGCCATGGCACACTCACAGCCACCCCAGTGTCGACCTGCTGGGCTCCAGCGAGCCTTCCACCTCAGTCTTCCAAGTAGCTGGAACTACAGATGCATGCTACTATATCCCAGTAATTTTTTTTATTATTGTAGAGTCGAGGTATTGCCAAGTTGCCTGGGCTGGTCTCGAACCCACGGGCTCAGGCAATCCACCCGCCTCGGCCTCCCAAAGTGCTGGGATTACAGACTGAGCCACTGGTTCTGACCCAAATATGCTATTTTCAAAGTTATTATTCACCTTAATAAATATCATAAAAACATACCTATAAAGTTTTTAATAGTTTTATTTAAATTTAGATTTTATTTACTTGGAATTAATTTGTTGAAAGATGATCATGACCTTAAAATACAAATGGTTTGCTGACAGATATGAAATATTATCTTTAAGATATATTAATGTCACAGCTTGCCAGGAGTAATAAAAACAGATAAAAAATATTAGTGAATATATAATCTGGGGTCTGTTTCTTGATTTCATATTTTTTTCCATTTATCTACCAGCCCACTTCTGAGGTCGTGCCATATTGTGTTCATTTCAAAAACTGGTTATCAGCCGGGCTCGGTGGCTCAGCCTGTAATCCTGTGCCTTTGGGAGGCTGAGGTGAGAGGATTGCCTGATCCTGCGGGTTCGAGACCCACCTGGGCAGCGAGACTTCATCTCTACAATAAATCAAAAAAAATTAGCCAGGCGTGGTAGCGTGCGCCTGTAATTCCGGCTACTTGGAAGGTTGAGGCGGAAGGATCGCCGGAGCCCAGCAGGTCGAGGCTGCGGTGGCCGGGAGCGGCCACTGCACTCCAGTCTAGGCGACAGAGTGAGACTCCAACTCAAAAAAACCCCCAAAAAAACAAAAACAAAAAAAACTGGTTATCTATTGCTGAATATTTATTCTTAATTATATGTCTTTTCTGTTTGATATACTATTAATTAGAAACTGTCAAAAATAACTTTTATGAGTAACACCAAATTGTCATACTGAAACCTTAAGTAAGGCAGTTTAAATTTGACATGGTTTTAACTATTGTGTCTATTGGTATGTGGTAGGTGAAGATAAATTATTTATTCTAAGATCATAGTTAATCTAAATGCCATATTCTTAAGCAAACTATTGTTGGAAATGATAGCATCTTATTTAATAAAGTTCATCCAAGATGAGAAAGAGGAAAAACACTTTCAAGAATCATACATACTGTGACTTTTCTTCCCAAGTAAGATTCACTTATCTTGATATTGCTGGTTACATCTTGGCTCTTTACAAATAAATACGGTTGTGATTCCTGTAGCTGACCACTGCACATATCGAGAGTAACCACATCACCTCCTTCTCGGGCAACAAACCCGCAGTTACAAGACACAGGATAGTGAAGGCTTCCACAGTCCCACTGACGGACATGGACTTCAAAATCACGCGATGTACTCTTATAAAGCACAAATGTTCCAGTCTTGAAATTATCATATACCCTACCATTAACAAAAGGCGACTGTGTTAAGAATCAGTGTGAAATATCACAACAGTATATTATTCATCAAAAACGCATAGGCAATCAATATGTTTTGATGTTAAAATGGGACATCTGAGTTTCCAAGAGTTTTATGTATCACCAGCATTTATTTGTATGCACTGAATGATACCAAATAGCAATGAACACCTCAATCTGTCCTACCCTCTTATTCCCTCTCCCCACTCCAGTCCCACTGCTCTCCTTGAGCAGAGCAGCTTGCTGAATGGTCTCTCCCTCATACAGGTGTGCACATGGCCACCTCCCTGACCTCCTCCAAGTGCTTGTAAATGTCACCCTCAATTAATGACTTTCCATAACCACGCTACTTTAATATAAGTTGCAGCCCCTCCCTTTAGACTTCTCTTTCCATCCCTGATTTAGTTTTCTTCACAGTGTCTTCCTCAAACACACCATACATTTGGTTAATTAAATGTGTATCTCTCTCTTCACCTACTTAAAGGTCAACTTCATGAGGTCAGGGGATATCTGCTTTGCTCACTGTTACACTCTCCATATTTAGAAAGTGATTTGTTCCTTAGTTGTTGCATAATTAATCTTGTTGAACTGTCAGATTAAATGCGTCACTGCTATGCTTTCTTGAGGTTTGCCACTGAAGTTTGTAAACCTTTAGCGATAACCACAAAGAATTCTTGCGTGTGAGATCCATTCCTCCAACTTTTTAATATCTAGTCAAACTGTTGGAGTATATTTTTTTTATTGAATAGGTTCTGTATTCATTCACTTATAATGAATAATTTTACTGGCAAGGATCACATTACAAATTTTTAAAAACCCACAAACTACCTCACATCATAAAAGAAAACTTAGACTCAACAATGAGGTGTTCTTATCATTTTCCTTAAGGACAGTTTGGAGTCATAAATCCTCCAGAAAAATATAAATGAATTTAAATCTCTCCATGCAAATATTAACTAAATGATTTAGATTCCTGGTTGGTCATTTTTTTTATTTTACTTTAAATCTCTGAGGCAACAATCCAGATATTCATGATGGCTAGAAGAGTTTTCCTTCTGATTATTCTTGTCAAGAATTAGTAGCAATTCATTTAAAAAAACAATTCTTAGTTGGGCTCGGTGACTCAGCCTGTAATCCCGCACCTTTGGGAGGCTGAGGTGAGTGGATTGC